AGCACGATTCCCGAACAGAGCGCGAGGAAGTCTCGGGCGAAGCGGCAGCCGGACTGGGCATCCTCGGGCTCCCTGTCCACCCCGTGGGACTCCTTCGCGGTCCGCCTGGACCAATCCTAAAACCCCCTCTGGCAGGGAACAGGAACTGCTGTCGGTCTTCGTCCCCAGCCTCCTCGCTCCGCTCATACATGCCCTGGGCGTTTTGTTGACCGTTCTCAGATCGACGCATTGGAAAAAACATCATTGTGGCGCTTTCTGCTCCGAACAAAAAGCTGACAACGCTTTAAAGGAAAGTGCAATTCGTTGTTTTTGCGTTTGGAGGTCTGTCGTTTCCCCTCGTCGAAGCCCGCTGCGGACCGGCCGTGGCCTCCCAGGCCTGGTTCGAAGCGGTGTCGGACAGGTGTGATGCCTACCGTTTGCAGCTCTGCGCACGGGAACCGCTTTCAGCCTCCGCCCAATCGATGGATTTTGCTGCGAGGACGGGAGAGACCGCAGCGAGAGCGGGAGCGAGGATGGCAGGGGAGACAAGGATCAGTTTCACAAGAAAACAAAAAAAAAAAAAACGCCAAAAACAAACTCTGTTCAACAGCGGCAGGCCTGTCAACGCTGCAAAGCTAGCCAAAATACGTTTCAACAGCGTAGCGTTTATTCAGCATGTTTAGCCTACTAAGAGTCAAAAATACAGAGCGCTTAAAAAAAACGCCAAGGGCGTTTTAGATATGAGCCAAGCCCATTCTCTCGGTAATCACTTTGACTGCTAATTCTAGGCACCTTCCTGGAACCACTCGCTCCACTCGTGCGTCGAAGCTGCGTCGAACGTCCGTCGATTCGAGTCGACCTTGAGTCGAACCTGAGCCCAGCCTGAGTCAACCTTGAGTCGACCTTGAGTCGAACTGAAGGTCGAACTGGAGTCGAACAGATCCGTTCGGTGGGTCCCAGGAAGGTCCCCAAAGCGAGCACATAAACGACTCATTTCGCTCGTACCGATCCTCCTCCTCGGCTCCTCTGCTCCATCAGCGGTCGCGGCGGAAGCCTTGCCGACGGCCTTCGCGGCCCCCGTGGAGGAGGGGATCCGGCCGGCCCCCAAGCCGGCGGCAGGGGGCGGGAGGCTGGATGACGGCACCGAGAACGAGCGACGACGAGGATCCGGAGGAGAGGGGGCAGTAAAACGAAGCCAGGACGAGCACAAAATCGAACAAGGATAGATCGAGAACCTCTGAGATCCCTCTGCTCCTCCTCCTCATCATCATCCTCATACTCCTCCTACTCCTCCTCCTCCTCCGCCTCCTCCTCCTCCTCCTCCTCCTCCTCCCTCCTCCGTCCTCCTCCCTCCTCCTCCTCCTCCTCCTCCTCCTCCTCCTCCTCCTCCTGCTCATCCTCCTCCTCATCACTCATCCTCCTCCTCCTCCTCCTCCCCCTCCTCCTCCTCCTCCTCCTCCTCCTCCTCCACCCCCTCCGACAACGACGATCGTGAGGGGAGGGAGCAGGGAGAATGGCGAGGGCAGGAGGAGCAGAAGTGGGGAGGGAGAGGGAGAAGAGCGGAAAAGCGGCAGCAGGACGAGGAGTAGGTCGACAACAACGAACGAGTAGGCCGAGGAGGAGGAGGACGAGGAGGGTGAGGAGGACGAGGAAGCGGACGGGCAGGAGGAGGAGGACGACGACAGGAACGAGAAAGAGACCAGGAAGAAGATCAGTGGGAGGACCCGGGGAGACAGATGAGAAAGACGAGAAGGAAGCAGGAAGACGAAGAGGGTTGTGTCGCGTCCGCGCCACCACCATGTGAACCCATTTCGCCGATCGCTCGCCCCACCAAGTGGGTTGTGCGGGGAGGAGGAGGGGGAGGAGGAGGAGGAGGAGGAGGAGGAGGAGGAGGAGGAGGAGGAGGAAGGAGGAGGAGGAGGAGGAGCAGGAGGAGGAGGAGGAGGGGAGGAGGAGGAGGAGGAGGAGGAGGAGGAGGAGGAGGAGGAGGGGGGGGGAAGCGTGAGGTCAGGAGGGAAGAGGAGGCAGAGAAGGGGCAGGACGGCGGAGGGAAGAGGAGGGAAGGAGCAGGCGAGACCTGCCAGAAGAGCGAGAGCAGGAGGGAAGAGGAGGACGACGGATGGAAGAGGAAGAGGGACGACGGATGGAGGAGGAGAAGGAGGAGAAGGAGGAGGAGGAGTGGGAGGGGGAGGGGGGGGAGGAGGGGAAGGAGGAGGAGGAGGAGGAGGAAGAAAAGGAGGAGGAGGAAGAAGAGGAGGAGGGGGCGGAGGAGGAGGAGGAGGAGGAGGAGGAGGAGGGATAGCATCGCTTAACCGATCCAAATCCCCGCTGGCATGGCCTTGGCCTCACTGGCCGACTCGCCCCATGCGGGGGGTACGTATGTGCTGTGCCCTTCGGGTTTCGCGGGACCTGTCCCCACCTGAGGGGGGGGCCTGGCGGGGCTGAGACATCATGGCCTGGTGGGGATGGGGATCGGTGAGACGATGCTGCAGGGAGGAAGGGAGGAGGGAGGGGGAGGGATGAGGATCGGATCGGATCGGATCGGATCGCCTGTGTGGGCATGCGCCCGGGCCCCTTAAGGGCGAGGCGGGTGAGGCCATGACCTCGCATGAGAGGCAGCGCGCGTCGGAGGCTTGATCAGGATAATGCGTACCTCACATGTTGATGTTCCAATTGTTCCCACTCCTCTGTTGTAATCCGATGTAGTGACGTAGTTTCGTTGAGGTCGTAGTGTCTGTGGCATGAACCTGTCGGAGAATCCCGTGGATGTCATCGTTCTTTCTGTAATCGCGAAGCCCAAGCCAAACACGAACGAGTTGGACGCCTCGGAATTCCAATCCAGTCACATCCTTCAGATACCACTCAGGGCGCAGATACACGCAAAGCCGAAGGCACATAAGCTGGAGGTCGATTGGCGGTGGAAACGGGGAGTCAGAGGTTAGAAATTCGAGGTCGGGATGTTGTGCTGGTGGAGGGTGGATGTCGATTGGTGGAGGTAGAAGTCGAGAGTCGGTTGCTAAAGGTTGGTTGTTGGAATGCTGATTTGCTGGGCGTCGGAAGTCGATAAATAGAGGTGGGAGTGGAGAGTCGGATGCTAGATGCTGGAGGTCGGAATGCGGGGCTGTTGGACGCTGGAGGTCGATAGGTGGAGTTGGATCGACAGTCGGGTGCTAGACGTTTGTGGTCGGAGCGCTGAGCTGGTGGGCGCTGGAGGTCGATTGGTCGAGCTTGAAGTGGAGAGTGGGATGCTGGAGGTTGGAGGTCTTAATGTTGAGCTGGTGATCGTTGGAGGTCGATCGGTGGAAGTGGAGGTGGAGAGTCGGGTGCTGGAGATTGCAAGTCGGAGTGTTGACCTGGTGGACGCTGGAGGTCGATTAGTGGAGGGGGAAGTGGAAAGTCAGATGCTGGAGATTGGAGGTTGGAATGCTGAACTGGTGGAGGTTGGGAAGTCGATCGGTGGAGGTGGAAGCGGAAAGTCGCATGCTGGAGGTTGGAGGTCGTAATGTTGAGCTGGTGAACGTTGCAGGTCGATCGGTGGAGTTGAAAGTGGAGAGTCGGATGCTGGAGGTTGGAGGTCGGAATGCTGAGCTGGTGGGCGCTGGAGGTCGATCGGTGGAGGTAGAAGTGAAGAGTCGCATGCTAGAGGTTGGAGGTCGTAATGTTGAGTTGATGGACGCTGGAGGTCGATAGGTGGATGTGGAAGTGGAAAGTCGGACGCTAGAGGTTGGAGGTCGTTATGTTGAGCTAGTGGAGGTAGGGAAGTCGATCGGTGGAGGTGGAGGTGAAGAGTCGCATGCTAGAGATTGGAGGTCGTAATGTTGAGCTGATGGACGATGGAGGTCGATAGGTGGATGCGGAAGTGGAGAGTCTTATGCTGGAGATTTTTGCACAGCCGGTATGAAGTAACATGTGCGTTGTTCTGCCACTCAGGAATGAACACAGCTGTCGCAACAGGATGCAAGCGTATGCAATACACGAACGGCTGGCGTGCCAGAACTGCCTGCTTGTGCCAAAAGTGCTTGAGCCAAACTGTCTGCTTGTGCCTGCTGTGAGAGTTAGATGCTGGAGATTGTAAGTCGGAGTGCTAAACTGGTGCACGCTGGAGGTCGATTGGTGGAGGAGGGAGGGGGAGGGAGGATGGAGGAGGGAGGGGCGGAAGCTCTTCCTTCGCCCTCGTCCCCCGCGGGAACCACATGTCTTAGGTCGGGCATGTCCTCCTACAGACGGATTTTGGAGGAAAAATGAAAAATAGTCCAAAAAGATTCAAACATAGCCAAAAATAGTCGAAAGATCGTCCCCTGACTATTTGTTTACTCATTTTGAATGCTCCTCCTGTAGAGGGACATGCCCGACTGAACACACATGTCCTGCACCAGCGCTATCCCGATCTACATGCTGGAGGCCCTGTGCCAGGCCTGATGCGGGAGGCCATGCAGGAAGGGGCGGCCTCTCAGATGGGGTTGGAAAAAGAGGGGGCTGGAGGATCGCGCACCGCTGAGGCCTGCCTGCCCACGCACACATCTCGGCGGCAAGCACTGCACGCCCCCCAAGACATCCGACGTGATGCTTGCTTCACACCGTGGCTCCATGGAGGTCTGGACTCCGAACCCCTTCCCAGGGACCGGTGTTTCATCCTGGGACGTTTTTGTTGATGAAGATGGGTGGAATCATTCTGAGCGACAGGCATAATTAGTCGATCATGTTTGGTAGTGTGGCGTGGTGAATTTTACTTCTATACTTCTTTCTGTATTGGCATATTCTCTTCTGCATTTCAGAGCATCATGTTCGTGATTTGCTCGACGGGCGCGTTCATCAAGAAGGGCGTGCGTCCACCTGTCCAATAACAAGTACACGGACGATTTTGTCGACGCTCCCGGGGTCGGGTGAGGGCCCCCAAAGGCCGAAACCGAGCGAGAGCCTAGCGCCGTGACTTCAGGGACCTCGGCCTGCCCCGGGCGACTCGCCGCACCCCATCCAGATGCCGCGCGGTCCGGACGCAGGGCGGAGAGCGGCTCGCCAGCCCTTCCGGATAATGTTCTCGGACGCGGCGCGGCCACCTCGCCAGTCCTCGGCCGCCAGGCTGCGGGAGGGGTCGCAGCTGACAGTCTCCCGCATCCGTCTCGATCACCCTGGCATCTACTCGTCAGCATCGTCGTCGTCCGCTTTCATCTCCTCCTCTCCGCTCCTCCTCCTCCTCCTCCTCCTCCTCCTCCTCCTCCTCCTCCTCCTCGTCCTCCTCCTCCTCCTCCTCCTCCTCCTCCTCCTCCTAATTCTCCCAAACGCTGGCATCAGCTTCCATCCCATCGTACTCCTGACAGCCTCTCACACCTCATCATCTTCATCACCACCACCACCACCGCGACTATCATCATCACCATCATCATCATCACTATCACCATCACCATCACCATCATCATCATCATCACCATCATCATCATCATCATCATCATCATCATCATCATCAGCATCATCCTCATCCTCATCCTCATCATCATCATCAGCAGCAGCATCAGCATCAGCATCAGCATCAGCATCAGCATCAGCATCAGCATCATCGTCATCATCAGCAGCAGCATCATCATCATCATAATCCTCATCATTGTCATCGCCATCATCATCAGTATTACTATTATGATTATTATTAGTGTTATTATTCTCATATCTATCATCCTCAGCATCATCCTCATCATCATCATCATCATCACCATCATCATCACCATCACCATCACCATCACCATCATGATCATCATCATCATCATCATCATCATCAGCATCAGCATCAGCATCATCATCGTCATCATCGTCGTCATCAGCATCATCATCATCAGCATCATCATCATCCTCATCATCATCGCCATCGTCGTCATCATCATCATATTCATCTTCACCATCATCATCATCATCGTCGCAAACCTCATCATCATCATGGTCATCGCCATCATCATCGTCATCATCAGAATCATCAGAATCATCATCATCATCAGCATCATCATCCTCGTCGTCGTCATCGTCGTCGTCAGCATCCTCATCATTATCATCATTATCATCATTATCATCAGTATCATCATCATCATCATCATCATCATCATCATCACCATTATCATCCCCATCATCATCATCAGCAGCAGCATCATCATCATCACCATGACCATGACCACCACCATCACCATCACCATCACCATCGTCATCATCATCATCATCGAAATCAGTACCAGAATCATCATCATCATCATCATCATCATCATCATCGTCATCGTCAGCATCATCATCATCATCATCCTTATCATCATCGTCCTCATCATCAGAATCAGAATCACCAGCAGCATCATCACCGTCATCATCATCAACATCAGCATCAGCATCATCATAATCGTCATCAGCAGCAGCATCAACATCATCATCATCAGCATCAGCATTATCATCAGCATCATCACCTGCATCATCGTCATCATCATCCTCATCCGCATCCTCACCAGCCCAAGCTTCATCATTATCATCAGCAGCGTCCTCGGCATCGACATCGACATCATCATCACCAACATCATTACCATCATTAACCTCATCGTCATATTCGGCATAACGATAATTTGCGTCATCATCAACATCAACATCACCATTATTATATATCAGCATCAGCATCATCAGCAGCATCATCTTCATCACCTATCACCATCACCATCACCATCGTCATCATCATCGTCATCGTCATCGTCATCGTCGTCGTCAGCATCATCATCAGCAGCATCATAATCAGTATTAGCATCACAGTCTGCATCACCATCAGTACCACCACCATCATCGTTATCATGATCGTCCTCATGAGCAACAGCATCATCAGCAGCACCAGTACCAGCATCAGCATCATCATCATCACCGTCTACATCAACATCATCAGAATAACCGTCAGAATCATCAACAACACAAGCATAGTAATGATCACCGTCTACATCATCATCATCATCATCATCCTCATCATCATCATCATCATCATCATCATCATCATGTTCTTCATGAGCATCATCACCATCAGCATCATCCTTACCAGCACCACAATCATCATAATCATCATCAGCATCATCATCATCATCATCATCACCATCACCATCACCATCACCATCACCATCGTCGTCATCATCACCATCCTCATCGCCGTCGTCAACACCCACCACCACCACTACCGGCATCAGAATCAACGGTATGGACATCAACATCACAGTGATCACCATCACCACCAGCACCACGACCATCATCATCATCATCATCATCATCATCATCATCATCATCATCATCATCATCCTCATCCTCATCCTCATCCTCATCATCATCATCATCATCATCATCATCATCATCACCATCATCATCATCATCCTCATCCTCATCATCACCAACAGCCTTATCAACATCAGCATCGCCATTCGTAGCCATCTTAGCTCAGGATGGCCCATTGCCCCGCCCGCGCGAAGTCATCAACCGAGTGCGCCGCAAGCCTGCCGCCCTCGAGGCGCGGCCGCCTCTGCTGCCGAGAAGCCACCCCCGCGGCGCGACGTCGGCGTCGTGGCAGCCGCAGGGTCGCCGACTCGGTGCTGCCACGGCTGCAGCGCGCAGGCGAGCGCGAGCTGGCATGTTCTTGGCGGCGAGCGAGGGGGGGGGAAATGAAGAGGAGAAGGCCTTCTCAGAAGGCGGCGGGACTTCTCAGAAGCCCTCGCGCCTTCTGAGATGTCTTTGTCTGTCTTCGGGGACGGCTTCGAAAACTTCTCGGAAGGCTGGGGGACTTCTGAACCTTCTGAGCAGGCCTTCTCCTTCTCACTTCCCCCCCTCTCGCTCGCCGCCGATGGTCGCCGTCCAGCACGCACAGCTCGCCGCCTGCGAACCCACTGGCCTGCTCGAGGTCTGGGGCCGTATGGCGAGCGTGGTCCAGGGCGAGCCGTGCGAGGAGGCCGAGGTGTGTCGGACCACCCGCCCATGCAGGCGCGCGATGCTGTCAGATTGTGGTTGGCATCTCAGTGGAATGGTCTGTTATCGCGGCGTTTCATGGATGAAGCTGTTGCTTAGTCGATGACTTAATGTCTCTGTGGATGGATACCCACTGGAACGTCCGCTGGGGCCCTGTTTCTGCACTGGTCACCACGTTGTTGAGACTCGGTTGGGCATTTACAGGACCTGAGTCTATGGCAGCATTGCTTATATTACTCCATGTCGCTCCTGATGCGCATGGGCCTTGTGAGAATCATGGCAATTGCCAAAAAGGGTGATTGCTGCTAGGGCCGCCCCTGAGTGCCTTGCTGTTTCTGGTTGGTCGCCCCACGCCGATCTTCGGAGGCACGCTTACTTGCAAGCCCGTGAGATCGGGTAGAGTTTCATAGCTGTGCGTAAGGTCGATGGGCATCTAGATGCTATGTCGCCTGTTCAGGCAACGTGGATGACGACCGGCAATGAGTGTGCCAATATGTCTGCCAGGCGAGGGACTGAGATTCGTCCTGTCGATCCAGATGCTATGACCCACCGCTCGCGATCTCGTATGGTTGTTGAGAACGTTGGCATGTGTGTGGCCTACATGGTCACAAAGGCACTCGCCAAGCTGGATGGCCTCCCGCGTCCTTCTCCTCATCCTCTTTCCTCCCTTTACGCTGTCCTCCCTCCTCGGGGAGTGCCCCATGAACTGATTTGGGACCAGGCCGTACAGCGTTTCTGATGCGTGGCAGGCTGCTCGTCAAGCCGCCGCAAAAGTGTTCGGCCAAAGCGTCCTGCCTTGCCCCGCACGGTACGGGGCACATCGTGATGAGAGATGGCTCGTACAGTTGTTGTAGGTTATGCAGATCGCATTCGCTGATTTTCCCATGCGTCACGCCAGATGTCTGCGAAAAACGGCTTCTCGGACTGGCCGGGCAGATTGGGACGCTTGCTGGAGGGACTTCATCCCAAGCGTAAAAAGTCGCTAGGGCCTGTCGTTCCCGCAACCCTACGCCCCTGCCACGACTTGGGGGATCCGCTTGTCATGGATCCTGTTCGCGCGTGGGCCCCGCATCTCTAGCCCTCGGGAACCCAAAATATACCGATACCTCTCCTCCCAGGACCTCTCCCGGGGTGCGCTCTCACAAGGATATATAGAGGCGAGTCCAGCAGTGGCGACGAGGGCGTCCTGGGAGGCCGAAGCAGGGGACAGCGGGGCAAGGGCGGCGGCATCTGTGCCTTTCTCCTCTCACGCTGGCCGCCTGAGACCACGTGCTGCCTCCGTCAAAGCATGCCACTTTCTCGGGCTGCCTTCGTCAAACGCCCCGTGGTGTCCGCGGCGGCAGCACAGGACGGCGGGGCCGCGCAGCAGTCGCGCCGTCGCCCTTGCGCGTCGCCCTCCTCTTTCGGGATCTGCCTCCCTGGAGGCAGGCCAATCCAGTTTCCAGCTTGCCAATTTCCAGTGTGAGGGCGGCCAGGGGGTCTGAACTGGTCGGGAGAGTAGAACATCGGTCAGGAGGATGGGGCCAAATCCGCTCTAAATCCGTCTTCGGACCCCTCCTGGGGTCCATCTGGTAGAGTCTTTCACCTCGGATCCACTTTCACAGTCCCAGGGCCCGAAAACAGCTCCCTGAGGCCGAAAAACCTTCCCGAGCACAGAACCTTGAACCTCCCAGCCCTTCCTGCTGGCCAGAACCAGTGCTGGGCCATTCGGACCCCCGGCCAGCTCCGATTTCCACTTTCCCCTCCTCCTTCTCCTCCTCCTCCTCCTCCTCGTCCTCCTCCTCCTCCTCCTCCTCCTCCTCCTCCTCCTCCTCCTCCTCCTCCTCATCCTTCTTCCCATCCTCCTCCACTCCTCCTCCTCCCCCTCCCCCTCCACCTCCAAGATGAACATTTACACCATGAATACTACTCTCCTCTCTCCACTGATGACATCCAGAAGATGTTCGGCACCCCTCTACGTACTGTTTTGCTTACACACTGGATTCCCGGGAGTTGGGTTTTCGCTGTTTTTTTCCCAAAATGTTGCTCCTGCTGAAGCATTGGTCCCATTACTGCGTCTCCAGTTGTTCCAAATCGTGCTCTCGCTGCAGCACGGGCGTTTTCGGTCCTTCCAAATGGGCGGCCCCAAATCTAGAAAATGGCCCCTTGAAAAAAACATCAGAAGTGATGACACAGTCGGTGTCAATTCGTTGAATGTTTGGGCCGCAGATGCCCCCCCCACCACTTTGGGGCGTCGTCGTTTTCAGGAGGTATCAAGCGGGAGCACCGTTTCTGCTTTGAGAAGGCGATGTTGAAAGCAGAGCCAGCGGGTACTCTCCATCAGCCCCGCCTTGTGTGGAGCTTTTTGGTGAGCCCAAGGAGCTAGACATGAAGCCACCATTCCAGGCGGTCCCAGACCTCTCGAAGACGAGCCACTTAACCTCCAAGGAACCCGGCGCCATGCCATGACATGCTGTGCGGTGCTGTGTTCTGCGCCGCTGTGCGATGCCATGCTTTGCGTTGCAATGCTTTGTGATGCAATACTTCGCTGCGCAATGCCACGCCATGCTATGGCATGCTACGCTCTGCCGTGCTCTTCTACGCCATGCCATGCCGTGCTCTACCATGCATCGCGTACCATCTCGCGATCATTGCCCTGCTCGACATCCGACTGTGCGAATAGAGTGAATATCTACGCCATGGTAAGGGATGGGAGGGAGGGGTAGGACGTCAGATTTGAAGCGAGCGCACCTAGCTTGTCCCTCCCCTCTCCCTCATATCCACCCTCCTCCTCCCTCTTCCTCTCTCCCCTCACCCTCCTCCCATAACCCTCTTCCCTCCTCTCTTCGCCCCCCCCTCTCCAGCCTCCTCCTTCCTCCCTCCTCTGTCTCTCTATCTCCAATCGTCCCCCCCCCCCTCCTCGCCCCCTCTCTCCTGGCGTGTTCCCCTTTAGCCTCGTCCCTTCCCCTCCCTTCCCCCTCCCTCGCTCCCTCCCCCTCTCTCCTGGCGTGTTCCCCTTTAGCCTCGTCCACTCCCCCTCCCCCTCCCCTCCCTCGCTGCGGGGCCTGCTGTGGAACGCGGCGGTGCCGCGCCCGGGCCCCAGGTGGCGGGTGCGCGCGGTGACTCGGCACGGGCCTCATTGGTTCTGCTCGCGCGCCCCCGCGACTGGGCAGGAGGGCTCCTTGTGGAGTTGTACGGCAGGCTCCTTGTGGAGTCGTAGGCGTTGGCTTCTGACACCGCGTGGATCATTCAACCCTGAATCATCGGCGGCTTCCGAATTGTAAGGTTGTTCACCATCGACCGGTTCTGAATCGCCGGCGGCTACCGACGTTCAACGCCGGCGGCGGGGTCGACAACAACAACAACAACAATAACAACAACAACAACAACAACAACAACAACAACTACTACTACTACTACTACTACTACTACTACTACTACTACTACTACAGCAACAACAGCAACAACAGCAACAACAACTACAACAACTGCAACAACAACAACAACAACAACAACGACAACAACAGCAACAACAGCAGCAGCAGAGCAGCAACAACAACAACAACAACAACAACAGCAACAACAACAACAACAACAACAACAACAACAACAACAACAACAACAACAACAACAACAACAACAACTACTACTACTACTACTACTACTACTACAACAACAACGACAACAACAACAACAACAACGACAACGACAACGACAACAACAACAACAACAACAACAACAACAACAACAACAACAACAACAACAACAACAACGACAACAATCATTTTAAGTGCCATGCAACGTGTATACCCACGCCCTCGATATCCGCCCCCTTCGTCTTCGAGCGTACCCCCTTCTGGGGATGCGGGGGCGGGCGGGCTTAGACAAGCGGGCGTGAACGGGCGGGGAATTATTCGGAGGATGGGGCACGCATCTCTTTGCCCACCATTGGAATTAGCGCGGGCCCTGCAAGAAGAGGAAGGGGGAGAACGAGGGAGAGTGGGAGGAAGGGAGGGGGAGGGACGAGGCTAAAGGGGAACACGCCAGGAGAGAGGGGGCGAGGAGGGGGGGGGGGGACGATTGGAGATAGAGAGACAGAGGAGGGAGGAAGGAGGAGGCTGGAGAGGGGAGGGCGAAGAGAGGAGGGAGGAGGGTTATGGGAGGAGGGTGAGGGGAGAGAGGAAGAGGGAGGAGGAGGGTGGATATGAGGGAGAGGGGAGGGAGGAGGGAGGTTGGATGGGGAGGAAGGGGCAGGAGGGTAAGAGTGTGAACGTTCGAGGAAGTCCTAGGCGAGGGCGTATTCCTCAAGGAAGAGTTGGGCGGGAGCGGGGGTCCCGAGTACATTGTCGGACGTCTCAGGCGGGAGCGCCGGTCGGGCGGGCGGACCCTGACGGGCGGGTCGGGCGGGCGGGACATTCAAACGGGATTTTTGCGTAAATCGCGAGGAAGTATTAAGCGAGAGCGCGATTCCTAAGTAAATTGCGAGGGCGTCCTTGGCGCGAGCGTGGTTCCTGAGCGTCGAGAACGCGATGCTGCAATAAATTGCGAGGAAGTCCTAAGCGAGAGCGCCATTCCTGAGTAAATTATGAGGAAGTCTCGGGCGGAAACAGGGGTCCTGATTAAGGAAGTCTCAAGCGGGAGCGCCGCTTCTGAGTAAAATGTGAGAAAGTCTGAAGCGGGAGCGCCCTTCCGGAGTAAATTTTGAGGAAGTCTCAGGCGGGAGCGGGGGTCCTGAGTAAATTGTGAGGAAGTCTCAGGCGGGAGCCGTTGTTGTTGTAGTCCGGGGCCCAACAACGCAATCTGATCCGCAAGGCTTTCCCTGTCAAAAAACAGGGTGCGAGCCCTGGAGGAAGCACTTCAATTGAAAAAAACCAATGGGCACCGGACAGGGGGGATCAACAAAATTCATTCTTCAGAAATGAAAGTTCATCAACAACAACAACAACAGCAACAACAACAACAACAACAACAACAACAACAACAACAACAGCAACAGCAACAGCAACAGCAACAGCAACCACAACCACAACCACAACCACAACCACAACCACAACAACAACAGCAACAACAACAATAATAATAACACAACTAACAAGAATAACAAAACTTACAAGAACAACAAGCGGCAGAAACGTGAACTTTCGGAACTCCGCGAGGACCTCTTGGATAAGCGCTGGGCCCCCCTGGAGCGCTCCGCGCCCCGGAGAGGGGGGCCTCAGCACAGAACAAAAAAATCCGCGAGGGGCTCCGGAAGTGCTTGCTTGATTCGACTTTTTCTTCTTCGAGAGGGAGACGCAGCAGGAGGGTTGCATAGCGATCTATGGGCGCCACAGCCAACGTAGCAGGCACCCTCGCCATAACACTCCAGGAGGGTGCGCTCCTCGACAGACCCCACTCCGTCGCACGGTGGAGGGGTCGGCTTCGGCTGCTGCGGCAGCCAGTCCGCGATGACTGGGGTGCTTGCCCTGGCGGGCACGAGCCAAGCTCTCGCGCCAGGCTGGGCAGGGGGGGGGGGGGAGGCGGGAGGGGCAGGGAGCAGGGGGAGGCGCCAAGCGCGATTGACATCGATGTTCGCGCACTCGACGCTGAAGCTGGCAAGCAAGATGGCCGGAACGCGTGGTTCGCACTCCCGTCCCTCCGTCGTTGTTCTCCACATGCCCGTTCCGCCAGCATCCTCATCTTCGTGATCGTCTCTGCTCTCGGCATCCTTGTCGTCATAGTCATCCACGTCGTCGTCGTCATGGCCGCCGTCGCCGTCGTCGTCGTCGTTGTCGTCGTCGGTTTCGTCATGTCGTCGTCATCATGGCCGCCATCGTCGTCAACGGCAATGCCTTCGTCGTAGTCAGTGTCAGCATCGTCACGTCATCGTCGTCTTCGTTCACACACTCAAATTCGTCCTCTGATCCCTCATCATCGCCCTCGCAGTTGACCACACTCTACTTCAGTCTGCCCACCCCACGTCCTTGCCACCACGCGACGGCCCGTCAACGGTCAACTGGGTGGCGGTCATGGCGTGCACGGTCGTCATCAGCCCCTGCGGGTCTGGCAGCAATTGCAAAAAGATGAGCAGGACGGGGAGAAATGCAACGACACCATCGACGAGCTGGCAGCTGCCCCAGCATCATCACCATGAAGGTTCTCCTCCTCCACCTCCCTCCCTCCCTCCTTCCCTCCCCGTGCCTCCCTCCATGCCTCCTCCTCCCTTCCCCCCACCGCAGACCCTACCTCCCGCCCTCACTCACTCTCTCACTCTCTCGCTCCCTCGCTCCCCCCACCTCCACCCCCCAGCCCCCAGCCGCCGTCCTGGTTCGAGGCCCTGGGTGCGCTACCAGCGTGGCGCGAGCCTCACTACCGGACAAGCAGCCACACGAGCCAGCCAGGGACTGTCTCTAGTCGCAGGCAGACCGTGACACCCCCATCGCAGTTGCACCAGTGGGCAGGCGCCACGTCCGAGTATTTTCGTGAACCAGCTTGGCATCGGCGTGCGCGTGAACGCCGCAGTCAGGCTCGGACAGTACTTTGCCTAGCGGCAGCCAAGCACGTGCTCAGGAGTCACCAGTCGGAAAAAGCAGCAGTCAATGTCCCAGCCTTCTCAGTCTACGCCATGGCAAAAGAGAACTGGCCAGCGGTATTGTTCGCGCTGTAAGTCCTTGCATACAGCTTCGACTTCCTGGTGCACCACTTGCTTCCCAGTCTCGAACAAGGGCCAACGCGACAAGTCTCGTACGAGGTCTTTTTTCCAGGCCACCAATTCGCAGTGGAGCTCACGGCTCAGAGGCGTCTCAGTCAGAGGCCAACACCGGCGTCAAGAAGAGAGTCGCCACGCTCGAAGAAGCCAAGAGCCACAGGCTCTAGGTGGAGTCACCAACATTGGCGGCTGATCGAGAGGCCCATCGTCAACACATCAAGTCGGCTATTCAAGCGGTGGAGCAGCAGATCATCGCTCAAGAAGCTATCTGCGCGGATTCACCGCTGTTGGAAGCCAAGAGGACAGAGCACGCCGTGTTCCAATTCATGCATATGTTCGTGTACCACCGAAGGAGAGGGTCGCCAACCAGTCTGCCTACCCCACGCGGGTCACCAAACGCTTCGAGAATGCCCAGGAGGCGGGGAGAGAGGCAGATATTGCTCTAGCCACAGCTCAAAAACATCGAGAGGTGCTTGCCAGCGAGGTCACCCAAGGAGAAGGAGGAGAAGGAGGACCTGCCCAAGGTAGTCACGTTCGGCACTATCAGAGCACCCCAACGTCGCCATTCCAAGCTACGCCGTGGCCCATAGCTGCTCCAAAGTCATTGCAGAACTTCAAACTGGTCAAACCGAACTTCGCTCGACAATTCCAGCATTGAGCGGTTCTCTTGCATCTATATAGGCGGCCATTGGTCGACTTGCCATCCAGCACACAGTAGCGAGCAGTCCAACGGCATCGGCCGCAGCAGCAGCTTCGGCAACACCAGCGCCACAGGGAGCTCATCGCACGTCGGCAAAGGTGGAGTCATCAAACCATCGGGCAAGGTCTCAGCGGCAGCACGTCGGCTCGAGCGAGCAGCTGCGCGACCAGGCCGGCAGCGTCTCGCGGTCTCGCGAGGACGGCAAGAGTCTCCAGCGCCCGAGGGCAGGATGGAGCCCGGGGAGCTGGAGCAAAAGCGGCAGCGCTCGCCCCGCGAGGATGCCGAGGCCATGTCAGACGCGCCCGCCGAGGAAGGCACCGTCCTGATCGAGGGCATGCCGACGCCTTCACCATCTACGCCACAGAGTCTTCCTCAGCTCAGCCCGGGCAGGCACGAGAGCAGAGGACGTCATGCCGGGTTCACGTGGGAAACCACAAGCCTCGGTTCCTAATGTCGAAGCATGTTGTTTGCTCGGGCCCCCCACATCATCAGGGAGAAAGTCAAGGGACATCTCCTATTCGTGGCGGTGCTTACGGCCCCATCCCAGATACCTCCGAAGTCTACCGTATCCTGCTTGCCAAGTGGAGCCGACCTCTCACGAATTGTGATTGGGTGTTGGCCAAGTACCTCCATTCCTCCTCCATCCAGGCTCTTCCCCAGCTATCTACGCCTCAAGATATCCGAAGAATTGCTGCCGTACATATATATATATATATATATATACACTGACAGGTCCGGTGGATCCAAACGTGCCTGGCCTGCTTGGACCTTCGCTGTCTTCCTCGAGGATAAGGAGCACAACATGGCATCTCTTGGACTTCGAGGGGGGTCTCTTGGACTTCGAGGTGCCCCCGCAGATGGCCTCCCTAGCAGCTGAGCTCCAAGGGGCTCTGTGGGCCTTGGCTTGAATCATGCAGTCCCCATGTGCGAGAGAGCGTGATCCACCGCCGCTTTACTGTGGAAAATTGCCAACCTTTTCCTCCGGAACCCGGGGGTCTCCCCCCCCCCTCCGAAATCCCCCCCCTGCTGGAACCCCTTCCCCCCCCCCCCCCCCCCCCCCCTCCCTCCCGCAAACCCCCCCCCCCTCCCCCTCAACCCCCCCCTCCCCCCCCCCCCCCCCCCCCCCTCGAAAAGGGGGGGAAACCCCTCCCCCGGACCCCCCTCCGGAAAAACCGGGGGGGGTCACTACCGGTTGAACCCCCCCCCCCCCTCGAAAACCGGAGGGGGGTCACTACCGGTTCGACCCCCCCCTCCACGCACCGCCAGCAAACGACTCCCGGTCCCTACCACCGTCCCATCCCCCACTGTTGTTCCCCACCACCACCAATGCCCCCACCACTGTCGCACTGTCCCCACTGTTCCCACAACTGTTCCCACCACGGTTCCACTCTCCCCACTGTCTCCACGGACCCAACCACTGCCCATCCCCATTGTCCCCACTGTCCCACTGACTCCTCCGCTGTCCCACTGAGCTGTCCCACTGTTTCCACCAGTCCCCACTGTCCCCACCACTGTCCCCACTGTACCTCTGTCCCATTGTCCCACCGCCGTCCTCGCCACCGCCTTTACCAGTGTCTCCACCACCACTGTACCCTCCACTGTCCCAGTGTTTCCACCTCATTCCCACTGTCCCCGCACCACTGTCCCCACCACCACCGTTCCCACCACTGTCCACTGTCGCCCCTGTTCCCACCATTGTCCCCACCACTGTCCCCACCACTACCGTCCCCGCTACTGTCCCACTGTCCCCCCACTGTCCCCACCACTGTCCCGCTGTCCCCTCACCACTGTCCCCACCAACGCTGTCCCCACCACTCTCCGCTCCCCCACTCGGTTTTCGAGGGGGGGGGGGGGTTCGAACCGGTAGTGACCCCCCCCCCTTTTCATGATGAGCTGGGGGGGGGGGGGGTGAAGGGGTTCGAACCGGTAGTGACCCCCCCCGGTTTTCCGGAGGGGGGGGGGGGGGGAGGGGTTCGAACCGGTAGTGACCCCCCCCGGTTTTCCGCCAGCAGCGGTAGAACACGCTCTTTCCCATGTGCCAACCAAGGTAGTAAATGTGAGTTGCACGTGCGTTGCGATAACACCGAAGCCCTACGAGTTGCTCGAGATGGGGCCCACGTACCTTCTGTTGCCTCAATGAAGACCTCTTTGGACAGCGTCGCCAAGGTCGCGTCGCATTTTGTCTCCAGGGTATTCTGGACGCATGTGCATGGGCATTCTGCACATCCTTGGAACGAGTTTGTTGGCAATCTTACTACCTTAGTCTCCCTGGGAAAGGGCGACCTCCCAATGACAGATACTACATGGTGTACGTGCCTGGAAGAACCTCAAGCTGTGCAAAGGCTGTGGCTTCGATTCGAGCCGTCACAGGTGCGCGAGCAGTACCCTCTACCAGCGGGTGAGCTTATGCCAGTGTTTAAGGAATCAGCATGGGAGAAGGCTTCCGCGCTGTACCATTTGCCACGTTTCTCTGCTCGAGACAAGTCAGACAAGCTACGTGAGCAGGACCAGCTGCCGCAGGTCCCATCTGAACCCATTTGGGTCGCTGCCACCAGTGTGCTTCGGGTAAGCCCCCGAGCCTCCAAGTTCACCAAGCGGGCCCGTGTTGTCGGCTTGTACTTACCGGGTCGGATGAAACAGTTGAGCTCAGCGCTTCAAGAGAACATAAGCTATTTCTGGTGGGTACGGTCGAAACGCGATTTCCAAGATCTGACCTTTATGCGGTCATGCCATACCATATCATACACGCAAAGGCTGACGCCGATCGCAGTGTTGGGTGCTCTCTATGGGTCAGCACGGGCATCGAGATGATCCCAGGAGTGCGTATCCGTCCCAAGCACTGTTGCGTGTTGGCAGCTGATCCGCATCATATGTTTGCTGCTATTCGAGCCGATGAGTCTGTGCTGGACGTGATCGTTGCACACGACCCGCGCAGCAAGAAGCCTGAAGCGACCATCGAGACTTGGTGGACTCAGCTGGCGAAGTTGGTTCAGGAGCACCGTTCACCAGGCGTCGAACTAGTTTGCTTGTTGGACGCTTTTGCCAGAGCAGGGTCTACCGTATCGAAGCACATCGGGCCCATAGCGGCCGAGCATCAGAATATTCCAGGGCTTCATGTTCATGTTTCCCTGAAAGAGACGGATCAAGCGTCTGCAGCTACGTGGTTTCCCCCTGGGCCTCATGGGCTCACGGCTGGTAGGCGCATCGACTACATCGCCTGTTCGATTGGGGTCTCAGTTACCAGGCAGTACTTTGTGTCCGACATCAATCTGATTATTTCTGTATTAGATCACCTGATGGTTGCAGGTTTGGTTTTAGTTCCGCTGGCTGGCTCGGCTTTACGTTCCTCGGAAAAAAGCACAAGATCCAATATGGTCGAGGTCTGTTTGCAGATCCAGACGCTACCCAAATATTTACCAACGAATTGCAGCAGTCTCCACGAATGCCGTTTGAAGCTGCTCCGTCGCACCATTGCCAGGTGCGCAATGCTCATCTCAAGCATTGCCTCGAGCACGCTTTCCCAGTCAAAGCCACTCCCAGAGACCGACAGCCAAGGCAGCCATGGCTTTCCACGGGCACGTTGTAGCGCATGGACGCTCGCACATCTCAGCTGAGGAGTTACAAGAGATGTGTGGGCGGACACGCT